ATTTTGGACGATGGTAAATCTACCGTAACCAAGGTGGTCTCGTTTCGTTTAATATATTTTTTCAGTAACATATAACTTTCCAATTTACAATTAGATTGCCAGTGTTCTTTTGTCCATTGTAAAAATATTAACGAAGCAAACGTATGAACCTTTTCAGGTAGCACTGACCATTGAATTCTAACACGTTTTCCTAACAAAAAAAAAATTCCGAAAACCAGAGCAATTAATGCTCGTAGCGCTGTTTTATGGCTTAACGCAGCTCTGACAACAAAAGTGAAACATTCTTTTGAGAAAGATTTGAATTATTTTGTTTGCCGCTGTTGTTGTTGTTGTTTTTTTTTTAATAAGCCGATCCGTGCTCGTTTTAACGTTCAGTTTTTTTTTTTATCTTAAAATGTCATTACTTTCAGTGCCACCTTAAAAATCCAGCTACACTGGTGGCTGCCAGCGCCTTAAGTGAAGTAATTTTTTTTTTTCGGAGAATCACCACCCACCTCAGTCCTTCTTGGCACCTTTCCTTGGGAGTCTATCCTGATCAACTTAATTATACAATCGTATAAAATTCCCCCGTAAATCTGGATATTCTGGCAGCTACCATTTACAGTAGATTAGAACAATTTCAGAGATCTTATCTTTGCACAGTTTCTTCTTCATTCATTGTCTCCAGATTATCCTCCAGTATTGTCTAATTATTATTTTTCTTCATCATCTCACTCCTCCTGCAATAGAAGTAAGCAAAACAATATTGAGTCGGTTGGTAAATTTTGAACTTCCCAAATCATCGATAATGACAAATGAGTATGGGAGGGGCGGGTGAAGCGAGCTTAAAGTGTAATAGAATTCGATGTTCGCGGTAGCCCACACGGGGTGTATCGCTGAAGCCGTCTTCGAAATGTTCTGCCACAATTCATCTGCTGGTTTCAAGTAGCAACGAACGCAAAATTTAAACGCAAGTGGCAGCGTTCTACTTGAATCTTAAACGCCATCGCCCTATTTTGATCGAAATGGTACTCATCTTTAGCAACTTCGTTTACAAAGTATACACAGCATTTTATTTAACAAGAGACTTGGTTAGTTAATTTGACATTAACACGATCAACTCGATTCGCTGGAGGACGAAGCGAACCGAACGCGCACCCGTTCACCGACCAGTTGTTTCCAACCCCACAGTCTGAGAGAAAAACAAAATAACGTAACACTCATTAAGAAGTAACTGAATGCTCACCTTCAAACGTCTTTCAAGAGAGAGTCCAATTCCAACGGCAAGCATACTCTCGGCGAAAAGTGTCGTTGCAGTGGTACGTCCTCACCCGTCCACGACCTGTTTGGTTTGAGAAAACTTTAAAATATGCTATGAATATTGAATATGAAAACAGACCAATCCGCGATTGACACGTCACGATAGTGACGCAAGTTTTGCTTCCACGCTCTGAAGGGAGCCTATCAGAAACCCCCTCTAAGGGTGGGTCAAGGTCACTTCAAGTTTTACTCATTCTATGTCTTAAGTTCCCGATGCATTTTAAAAAATTGAAATAAAAAAATATACACCAGTTTGTAACGACATTTGACACACATAATTAAAGAGATGTCAAATGCAAAACAAACAAACACAAACATACTGACAAACAAGTGAAAAGAAAAAGAAACTTGAGATGCTTCCCACGTTTAGATTCGAACTCTGGCTGAGACAATAATTACGATCCCACCTTACTCGCAAAAAATTAAATCATCAGTTTGCGAAGACATTTAAAAGACTGTTTCATGGCGAAGTAGAAAATGAGTAGGAAAACGAATCATCGAAAAAAAAAAAAAAAAAGAAGACAAAGATGAAAAAGGTACAAGCAAACTCGAGCAAACTACAAAACGGCAAGTACCCCGGAACAGGATCTCCATCCTGACTGGGACCGCTTTAACGGTAATGCTACCCCCACTGAGCTGCGGGGAACTTGCCATAAAAGGAGAGGAAATTATAAGATTATATGTAACATGTGTAGTACAAAGTGCAAGGAAGAGATCAACAAAGATTCTTTGGAAAAGGCCTTTTAACTCTAAGATAACACTATTACGAAACCTATTTGTTTGAATTGATACCTTTGGAACTCAGTAGTTTTTTTGACGCTTGTCCTCAATTTAAGAGTGTAGAAAAAAGGTAAACTTGCCAATCAGTGGAGGAAAACCTTCGCCACCTTTGCTGATTTAATGAAGTGGAAAGACAAGTATACAAAAACATTCGGAAGCATTTATCATCTTAGCATAAAAAGAGAAAATGAAAAATTCCAGTCGAGGCCCACAAATTGACCCTTGCTCACCATAGAGTCTCCAGTAGCTCGGTGATTAGAGCATCCGAAAAAATCATTAATACAAAAAAAAAAAAAAAAAAAAAAAAAAAAAAAAAAGAGAGAGAGAGAGAGAATAAAGAGATTGAAAAGGAAAATGAAAAAAACTACAAAACGCCAAGTTCCCGGAGTCAGGATCTCCGTGATCCTGACTCGGGACCGCTTTCGCGGTATGATGCTCCACCCACTGAGCTGCGGGAAACTTGCCATGAATGGAGAGCAAATTTTAAGATTTCAAGTAACAAGTAGACAATGTACTGTAGTTTTGTTTGAAACTGCCTCACTCCTACGCGCAACACGAGTTCAAAAAAGGAATGTAAACACGAGGTTTTCGAGTAAAGATAAGAATTGCGTTTCACGATTAAAGTTGATATTCAAAAGGAAAAATTCGAGTGATCATTACAAGTATGAAATAATGCGATTTCTAACGCCATGTTTTCCTGTAACTAATAGTACCCTACAGAAATCTTAAAAAACGACGGTTATGGTAGAGTGTTAGAGCTTAAATTGTAGTCTCGGTCTCGTAGTTTTAAACAGGGCTCCCTGCGTCTCGAGAATCCCTGATTTTATCATTCGTTACACCTCAAAGACATAACTCGCTCACCTTGTAACCGATAACGGCAATAGAACTTGGTGGTGTACTTGAAATCGAGCGGTGGAGACTATTGTTAGAATTATGACAGAAAAACACTGTGTACCTAGGCGTAATGTTGCACTGATTTAGTAGCTCATTAAAGCTCAGATGTTTATCGTTTTCCTTGTAAGAATCAATTTGGTCTCATCCTTTTTCGGGCATCATTGGTTATCTATCATCTTATATCCAACAAGCGCGAGTGGAATAATTGTTAAATTTAATCGTTCACCGTGTTGTTCGATTTAATAATGTTCAAGCTCAGTGGTGTGTCCGGATACGTGTCTTCAATTTAAGAGTGTAGGAAAACGGGGAACACTTGCCAATAAATGGAAGAGAACCTTTGCTAATTTAATGAGGTGAAAAGACGAGTATACAAGAACATTCCAGACTATTTATAAGATTAGTTAATAAATCATCGAAAAAAGGAAAAAAAATAAAAAAAAAGATTAAACAAAAAACTACAAGTCCCCCAGAACAGGTTCTCCTTCCTGACTGGAACCGCTTTCGCGGTACAACGCTCTTCTATGTACTTAGCTGCAGGGAACTTGCCATGAATGGAGAGCAAATTTTAAGATTATATGTAACAAGTAGACTATGTACTGTAGGGAGCAAGTGGGCAAAGATTGTGGAGAAAAGTTTTTGACTCTAAGATAACATTGTTAAAGAACACTTTGTTGTTCGATTTAATAGCTCTCAAACTCAGCTGTGTTCCGACGCATGTTGATTATAAGACTGTAGGAAAAGGGTAAACTTGCCAAACAGTGGATGAAAACCTTCGCTAATGTAATGAAGAGAAAAGACGAGTATGCAAGGACACTCCAGAGTACTAATAACCTTGATTTAAAATGGGAAAATAAACAAATCATGGAAAAAAAGAGGAAAATAAAGAAAAAAAGTAGAAGTTAAAAAGGAAAAAAAGCAAACTAAAAAACGGCAAGTCCCCCAAAACAGGATCTTCATCCTTACTGGGACCGCTTTCGCGGTACGATGCTCTACCCACCGGAGCTGCGGGGAACTTGCCATGAATGCCGGAGAGCACATTTAAAGATTATATGTAACAACTAGACTATGTACTGCAAGAAGCAAGTGAGCAAAGATTCTAAGGAAAAAGTATTTTGACTCTAAGATAACATTACCAACAAACTGTGTTATTCGATTTAATAATGTTCAAACTTAGTAGAGTACCGATGCATATCTTCAATTTAGGAGTGTAGGAAAAGGGAACACTTGCCAATAAGTGGAAGAGAACCTTTGCTAGTTCAATAAAGTAAAAAAACGAGTGTACAAAAACACTCCAGAATATTTATAAGCTTGGTTAATAAATCATCGAAAAGAAAAAAGATTAAAATAAATGATAAAAAACGGCAGGTACAATGCTCTACCCAGTGAGCCGCGGGGAACTTGCCATGAATGGAGAGCAAATCTAATGATTATATGTAACTATAAGTTTGGTGTAAAATGGAAAAAGTAATAAATCATCGAAGAGAAAGAAAAATAAAGAAATGCATGTCCTCAATTTTTAGGTGCGGCAAAGGGTCATTTTGACATGGAGGGGACAAAAAAATACCTTCGCTCGTTTGCAAAAGTAAAAGATCAGTACACAAAGAAATGCAGGTCTTTTTTTTTTCATAAAAATTAATAAAATAAAACAAATTGAAAGAAAAAAGAAAAGGAAAAACTCTCCTCTGCCTCACTTAAATTTGAACTCCAACTGGTAGCAGTATTGTGGTACAATGCTCTATCCAATTAACAGAGGGATACTCGTCAGAAGTTCAGGACACATTTGAAATCTATTTTTAAAAAGTGAGCTTTGAATGAAAGAATGACAAAGTATTCTAGTTATCAGATGACCATTGGTTAAAAACTATTTTGGATTCAGTTACAGAGCTGAGGTCAAGGCGTCATCTCTGTGACAGTAGTGAACTAAAGCTACTTGCTGGTGAAAACATGGTATCGACAAAGCAACCTCCTATAAAGTCCTCATCTCCTTTATTCCAGATGTTTCATCTGGTGTTTACAATCCTATCGATAGCTGCTCTTTCGTACAAGGTTTTTCGTCTTGAGAGCGAATTGTCGTTTATTCGGGAAGAACTATCTACCTTTGATAGCAATGGTGACAAGAAAGCGAATCTTCCGCTTTTCACAACCGCGAAAAGCGAGATTGAGACCAGGAGTGATCGAAATCGGCGGCGGATTATTAAATCTGGGATGTACGGAGTAAAGCAGAAGATACAGGACGCTGTTTGTATTCGAAAGGCACTGCAAAATTTTCAGGTAAACATAATAAAGACGAGTCCTTCGCGTCTCATTTTGGCCAAAGGATACACTATACACTTTCAAGTGTTTATCCCGACTTAAAGAATTCGACTGGAAATTTAACCAAATAGTTAAACAGTATGCGCTAACTCATTAACAGGCGTTAAAAATCATAGTTTCCAGCATTTGTCGTCTTTCAGGTACATGAACGGCACTGCTTTTAGGGAATGAAGCCTTCCGTTGGCAGGCTTCGCCTGCAGTAGTTAGTGTCGAGCTTGAGCCAAAGGAACTCGAAGGACGCCAACCTAATCTGGTAATTCCTTTTGTGTAAGGAAAGTTGTTTGTGAAAATAAGTGGCAAATAGCCTCTAAATGTATTACGAACTTTTCTCTATGCTACGTGTTTTGGCGTAATTCATATTTTTTTGCTGTTGAAGGTCAAGCACGCAGTAAATGGAACTGGAAAGTTTATCTGCCTGAGAGGTCAGTTCAGATCACTTCCGATTTAACATAAGCGAGAAAACATAACTACATGGCCATTCCACAAGTTTTTGATTCTTCATTAGTCACAGTCCACCCCTTTTTCTTTGCTAATTATATCAGTCTTCATTCCCTTATAACCCTCTAACTCTCATGAGTAACCAGGACAGAATTTCTCCTTACAATATCAATACGATATCGAGCAGACAAGTGAATAAAAGAAAAATATCAAATAGGAGATTATTAGCTGGTCCAATACCAAATTCTCTGAACTAAGATCATAAGAATTAAATCAAAATTCTCCGAATTAACATCATCACTCCAAATTCTCCGAATTAACATCACAAGAATTAAATCAAATTCTCCTTACTGTCTGCCATATAATGACAGACTGTAAGGAGAATTTGCTAATGAGATCTTGGGAATGGAGGGTCGATGATGAAGCTTTCTTGCAGAGTAAGGTGAATAGAAACAGAATTACTCGGTTGTGGTTATTCAGAAAGAAATTGCGGTTTTTCTTCTTTTGTTTATTGTTGTCGTTGTTTCAACTTATCAGAAAAAAGTAGATAAGGTCAGTGTACCGGCCATTATTTATCACCTGGGTAAGGGGGTTGGGGGAGTTTAGGAGGGTACCTGATTTCCTTATATGACTCTCTAATATTTTTATGTTCTTCCACATTGGCAATCAATTTTCTACAGTCTCCCCCCCCTAAAAGCTCTGTTGGCCACGACTGATCCCCGCTCTGTTCCATATGTGATCCCCCCTAAAATCGTCCCCCTCTCTTCCATATGTGATCCCCCCTAAAATCGTCCCCCTCTGTTCCATATGTGATCCCCCTAAAATCGTCCCCCTCTGTTCCATATGTGATCCCCCCTAAAATCGTCCCCCTCTGTTCCATATGTGATCCCCCCTAAAATCGTCCCCCTCTTAAGCGATGAAAATGGATTGGACGGGTCCCTTAGGGTAGTTGACGACCTTCGTGGAAAAAAAAAAAAAGAAAAAAAAAAATTTTCCTCTAAAGGCATATCGTCTATCCACAGCTACTAGTGACAATATTAAAATGTAATATGTTTGAGTTCCTCCGCTCATCAGAGGAAAATTGACTTCGATCATCCTCTTATGATGTACTTACATTGCTATTGGCGATATTCAGTCACTAGTGTTAGTTTTAGTAGTGCTGACAGAATTGTTTTGTCTGCAAAATGAACGGCCACAAATTAGGTGCCCAGGGCCCTCCCGGACAACAAGGAGCCCGCGGTCGTCGCGGTCGTCCGGGCCCAGCTGGTAAAACTGGGCCGCCCGGTGCGAGAGGACTTAGAGGAACCCCTGGAATTAGTCCCAAACTCAATGTTACATATATTGAGGAGCTGACCAAACGAATGGAGTCTCAAGTCACGACATTTGGTAAGAGATCACCTGTCAGCGTAAAGAACCATTAAATAGATTCATCAGCATAAGATAACAAGAAAACATGTACCAGTATCAAGCACTGTTTTACAGATATCAAGTTTAACCCTTCTAAACAGTATTATATTTATTTGCATTTGGGGAGGATTAAAGGAAACAGTTATGTTGCCAAAATCCAATGATTTCAATACCTGCTTTCTGATGAGCTTCTCAGAAAAGATCAGACCGTTATGACACTATTAGTTTACTTTGTTACAAATTAATTGCAGGATTCCTCAACAAGTTTTGATTTTGTGGACAATGATTCTGTGCCTGTACCTTCTGGGAAACATGTTTCAGGGTAAGTGACGATCAGATATATAGTGTATGGTTAAATACCAATAAACGTTTCATATGTGAGATGTATAATATTACTTTTTACTGCAGTCAAACTTAATTACCTAGTAGAATGTGCAACACACTATTTACTGAAAAATTGGTGTGAATAACATTTTTTGGTAACGCGATCAAGCATTGGTTCTTCAAGTATCTTTTAGTTAAATTACTGTGCATCAATAAATAGTAATAACATGTATTGTGTGATCCAGGACAAGACAGTTTAGGCTTCCCTCTTAAGAACAAAGTTACATTGTATTTATGAGTTCATTGTAACCATTACAATTTCTCCAAATGTGATTGGGGCATTAGCCGCTTCATTTTTTCAGTTTGCTGTAAGCAGATACCCTGTACTTGGACAGTTAAAGCAGCCAATAATACTAAGTCAATCCACTTGGCTAAATATGCCAACCACATAATTGATCAGATTGCCAAAGCAACAGTCAATTATCGTAAAGAACTGGGTAACTTTCAAAAATGGAGGAATTTTTAACCTTAGACAATGTCTTTACCAGAGGTATTTTCTGTAAAATTATGTATAATAAACGAATTAGACTCGTGCCTGGCGGTTGTCTGATTTTGTTAAATGCTAGTATGATCACAGACTCAATTCGACTTCACTTGGCCCTATCACCATTTTAAATTGTTTTTCACTGTATTTTTCTTTTTTACTTACCAACTCTTATGACCAAATAGAATATGAAGATATCATTAAATCTGATTTATTTAGAGTGGATCATTTTGATTACCCACAGTGTTGGTGCCAGGCATGAAATTTTGTTAAATTTGGATANTTTTTTTTTTTACTGTGGTTATTTTTTATTTCTTTTAAGCAATCATTTTTGTGTGTTTCTAGAAATATTATTTTTAATTTAAGAGCAACTCCTAAGACATTGATACAATGATCTAAATTGTCTCTTCCAATTTCTGCCTCTGGTAACCCAGTCCCAAAGATCACGTGCTCTTTACAGAGTAAAATCCAAGGTGACGATGAACGAATCCTAGTTATTAATGAAAAGCTTGAGATGAGGAAAGTCCGATTTGGAGATCAAGGCAAGATCGAATGTCGAGCGGAGAATATATTTGGTACTCAAGTGGCACGAGTGAAACTTTTCGTCTTTGGTGAGCAAGCTTGTTTTTTTTTATATAAAATCTTTGGTTATGTTTGTTTATCTTTTAATCAGTTGGGAATATTTGTCAGCTTTCTCGCATAATGGCAATCTTTTCTGTCAGTGTTTAGCCTTCTAGTCTATGATCCAGAGTCTTTTTACTCGTCTGTCTGTGAATCTGTCTATCTGCCTTTCTGCCTGTGAGTCTCTGTCTGTTTGCCTTTGAGTCTCTATCTGTCTGTCTATCTGTCTGTCTATCTTTCTGCCTGTGAGTCTCTATCTGTCTGTCTGTCTGTCTATCTGCCTGTCCGTCTGCCTTTGAGTCTCTGTCTGCCTTTGAGTCTCTATCTGTCTGTCTATCTGCCTGTCAGTCTGCCTGTAAGTCTCTGCCCGTGAGTCTCTATCTCTCTGTCTGTCTGCCTGTGAGTCGCTATCTGTTTATCCGCCTGCCTGTCTCCTGTGAGTCTATCTGTCTGCCTATCTTTCTGCCTGTGAGTCTCTGTCTGTCTATCTGCCTGTGAGTCTCAGTCTGTCTATCTGCCTGTGAGTCTTTATCAGTCTGTCTGCCTCTGAGTCTCTGTCTTTCTGCCTATCTTTCTGTCTGCCTGTGAGTCTGTCTTTCTGTCTGCCTTCCTTTCTGTAGGTCTGTATGTCTGCTTGTGCATCTCAGTTTGTCTCTGTCTAAGTGTCAATCTCGCAATCTAACTATCTGCCTGCCTGTCTTTCAATCGGTCTGCTCGTCCGTGCTCCTACCTATCTTTACCTGTGACTGTCATTCTATGCGCTACAGTATTTTAATTCTGATTACAACCCAAAGAAAAAACCTGTCTCGTGCTCTGCCTTCAGGTCCTCCAAGATTCTCTATCACACTCCCAGGAAAAGTGATCGGCTTTCTTGGTAAAACGACAAAACTTCTGTGTGACGTAGTCGGCTTCCCCACCCCTGTGGTTAAATGGAACAGGTCTCCCGCAATCCCACTCCCTCAGGTTCGCAGTTCATTAACAAAAGGAAGTCTGATTATTGAAAATACTAAAAGTGATGACGAGGGAGTGTACATCTGTACCGCAAGGAATGAACATGGAACAGTGATTCATGGCACTTTTTTGAAAGTTGAATCAGTCGGTGAGTTATAGATATGCGTTATTAACCAAGCGTGAGGTCAAGATGGCTCGATATTGGCCGAGTTTTGTTTTTGCATTTTTATGGCCGAGTTGAAGTCGAGGTCCATAAAAATGCGAAAAAGGAATGAGGCTAATATCCAGCCATCTTGAACGAACAAGGTTGGTTAATAAAGGACTTATTTTATTATATTTAAAAAAGATTTCGCTATATTAAGAAGTAAGAATGACTTGTTTACTTCAAGAGCTGGGAAAGAAGGCCAATTGTGTGGGTAGCACAACAAACTCACGAGAGTCATTTCTGTTTTTTTTTGTTTGGACTATCTTCTGCCGCTTTTTGCGTTTCCATCGCCGACATTGTCCAAGAATTACGTACGTAGCACTAATTCAATTTTTTTTCATGCACGGGATCAATGCGGGAAATCCCAAACGAGCAAGATGGGCCCATCCTGCCCGCTCGGGTAGCCAATCAGAACACAGGATTCGCTTCATCTTGCCCACGGTAACTTAGAGTTGAAATGGCGGATTAAAAGCTTATTAGATCTGGTCTTTATTAGAGTAGTTTAAAATGAATCCACTGTAAGTGAGTTTCGTGGCCAAATCTTTGAGTTTATTTTTCATTTGGGATATAATGGGTTCCTCTTGTTTTTAATAGTTTTTTGTTTTGCATAAAATGGTGTGTCTATTTTAAAAGACAAAATTTGTTTGATGAAACTG